CATGAGGTGCGAATGACAATAAAGAAACTCTGACTCTGACTCTGACTCTGATACTGGCCTGGCCATCTGTTCAGACTTCCACTTCCTGTGGTGGCTTGACACACGAACATTAAGCTGTTAACTTGACCTTTTTACCATCAATTCTCTTCACTTTTAGTCAGTAACTAATTCATTTATTCTTAATCATGCAAAGTTAATTCACTTTCAATATAAGATTTCCCAATAATCTCTTAATTTATGCTCTATAATGTCTTCAACATTGATTGATTAAGCCTTAATTCATAGGATTTCACACTCTTAACACATAGTATGTTAGAAAGACTTCACACACTGTTACATACTATTTTATAGATTTGTTTCAGTAAATAAACATTTCCTGCTTTTTCAGAAGTTTTAGTAAATAAACCTTTTTTGCTTTTCCAGAACACATACTCAGGGATATGTGGTTTATACTGCTCTTAACCTTATTTTTAGGTCATGAGAACTGACTTCATACCTCACCTGAAATGCACATCACTTGACACACCCCTGCTCTAAAGCCTCGGCGCATGTACTCTTTATCAGCATACAATTTGTGGACCAAACTTTGTTTATGTAAACACACAGTCCCCCTCCGTGTGTCTTTCCCATTTGTTCACTGCAGTGGTCCACTCGGAAAAAAGGTCTGCCATCCATCTGAAACGCTGAATCTGGCACGTCACTTTTTAGCCATGTCTCTGTGAGACAGAGTATCGCACATTCATTCATCTCCTCTAAGACACTCACGCTCAGTCGAAGCAGATCCATCTTGTTAGCCAAGGACCGGACATTGGAGAGAAAGAGAGATGGTATCTGGAGTCTGTCGGACCTAGCATTAGCTTTCTACCTCACCAGCATGCCAGCCAGGCATCCTCTCTTCTTGCCCTGGGCACAGTGCCTCCTCTTTCCATTTGAGCACTGCTGTCTCCAGACTGATGTCCGTAAAAGTTGCAGTCTGCCGAGCATAGCCTTAAGATTGTTGTTAATTGTTGCTGTGTTCAGTGTTAAATCCTCTCTCATCCTCATCAGTTCTGTTTGGCTATAATTCACATGCTTAATGCGTGCAGTCAGGTTCAGAGTCAGTATCAAAACTCCTGAAAACTGGGATCTCACTGGGAGCCTGAGAAGCTGCAGCTGTTCTGAGCACAGCTGTCTTGGCCACTCACATAGAGTTTATAGACCATGGTCTATAAATATGTTATAGACCTTGGTCTATTAATATGTTAAAAGACATTCATTAAAATTCTGCACTCCTATTTAGAAAATCTAGTTAAACATATGTATATATTTGAACCTGGATATATATTGTAGTGAGAGAGCAAGAGAGATGGATTTAGCTCAGGGGTGCTCTCTTACATTTTATAATATCTGGACTAGTTCAAGTACCTGATATTTAAACGGATTCTTTCATTTTTCTGGACTAAGTGATCTTGTGCTTATTTGAAGTACTGTGTGGAGATGGTCTAATCAGTGACATGAGACGTTAATTTTCTTTGACCCATCAAAATGAATGTGGTCATTTATTAACAGAATCAAAATTTAACATCAAACATTGTACACTTGATTATTCTGATTGAACGTAATAACACAGCTTAATTAATGAGCTTTACAATGAGAAATCATACGGCCATGATTTCTCACTTGCAACTGAAATACAACAGACATTTCTGAAGATATCTTAAATTAATTACTGGCAAGGTAGAAGAGTTGGAGTAAAGTTTAAGGAGGGAAAGTGGATACTTAGGGTTAACTAAGATAATAAAGAAAAGATGGGGAGTTATCTTGTTTGAAACCAGATAGCACGTTTCCCAGTGATTTCGGCTAGATGTACCCGAGCGTCGACCCTTTACCTTGGTGGGGTTTCAGAGAGGTCTTCTCCTGGCGTCCAGCAAGGCTGAGTCGTTTTATCTCCAGGGATTTATCTGCTTCTCATCAACTTAGGACCACGAAGCTGACTGGCCCAGCTTCCAAAATAAACTTCCCCGAAAGATAGGATTAAGTTAAGTGGAATTTCAGCAAACATGCTGAACTCCTCCTCAGCAGAACTCTCTGTTCTCCATGGAACTTCTGTTCATCCTCCAGAACTTCGGATCACTTCTGCTCTCAGAACTCTGGATCATCTCCCAGAACTCTTCTGTTCGGTTCTGCTCTCAGAACTTCTGGAACTAGGAAGTGTCGACTTTTAAAGAGTTCTGTTTCCGGTCCCATTTGGGAAGTCCTTATTGGTTGAAAGAACCAACAGGGGTGTGGTTTTAGTGACGTAAGAAGGTTACTACAAGTCAGAAAAACAACGGAGATGTTTTAGGAGCAGACAGAGAAATGTTTTGGCGAAATGACAGACCCCAGGTGCCAGCTTCTCTGTTTCTGTCTGAGAGGTTTTAAAAACATGACAGTTCGTTCCAATAAACTTGTTTGCGACTGTCTCCGACTTTTGACCGACATCACTCCTTCTCATTTCAGACAGAAGATCAAAAAATGCATAATTACTTTGTAACAGACATCTAACTTGATTTCTACTTTGAATGAGGATTAAAAATCATTAATACTGTTTCACAGTTGATTTAAAATAAGTAGTTCACTTCAACATTTAAAATGGTTTGAACTAAACACACTTTTGATTATCAAGACATTTGTGAAAATAGTAATGACAATATAAAAAGAGAGTGTTCTTTCAATTGATTAGTGCAGGACACACTTAGAAAGTCTCTGGATGAGCTTAATTTGTATTTCTGGACTCAAATCAATGAAATAACAGTTCCTGTCTCATGAAGGTCCTCAGGGTCAGGTTTTGACCTGAGGCTTAGTTCACTACAATATATATATATATATGGTCTGGAGATGGAGATGAACAAAAAGACAGGAGAAAGAACTAGAAATAGCAGAAATGTACTGTAGATGATGAGCCAATATTTTTCAGTCAGGTCATCTGGACAGTTTCTTTTTTTGTGCTGAAACGTTTCACCTTCGATCCAGAAGGCTTCATCAGTCAAGGAAACACACAACAAAACTGATTCTTCCCCCAACAGCTTACTCCAAAGTGGAACAAACCAGTTTTGTTTGTGATAAGATGGTCTCTTTGGTACACCCCCTCCTCCATTGCCGGCCCTCTTCCTTGTTGACAGTCGTATGAAACTGGTTGAAAACAACAAAATCCATGCTCAATAATCCAGGTATACAATCCAACTTTTTTCAGTCAGAATGATGAATGATGACTGATGAAACCTTCCGGATCGAATGCGAAACATTTCAGCACAAAAAAGAAACTGTCCAGATGACCTGACTGAAAAATGTTGGATTGTATACCTGGATTATTGAGCATGGACTTTGTTGTAGATGATGAGGTTCTCCACAAAGATGGATAAGATTGGGAATGATAGCATCAGAGGTACAGCACAGATTCAACAACTGGGAGATAAAGTTAGAGAGGCCAGACTGAGATGGTTTGGACATGTCCAGAAGAGGGACAGCAGTTTGTATATGCCCAGAGGAGGGACAGTGGGTATATTGATAGAAGGATGTTAGAAATGCAGCTGCCAGGAAAAAGACAAAGAGGAAGTTCAAAGAGTAGATATCTGGATGCAGTAGAGAGGACATGGCAGTATTTGGAGTGAGGGGAGAGGATGCAGAGGAAAGAGTGAGATGGAGGAGGATGACTTGCTGGGGTGACCCCTGAAGAGGGAAAAGCCAAAAGTAGATGTAAATGTAAATGTTTATATTTGAGCCATTCAATATACTCTAGTTCTGCACCCAGAAATAAAATACATTTTTGCACCCAGTTCTTGCTTATTAAAAAAAAATTATCATAATATTCGTGTTCATGATGAATTACTTTTGACCGTAAATGTAGTGAAAAGTTATCAACAATCAGTTTATGATGATGCTTTCTAGGCTAAAAGGTTAGATGACCAACTTGTCATAGGTAATTTGATTTTACACAAAATAATAAAACATTTCTTCCCTTCTCCAGCAATCTCAACATGTACTTGGAAAACAAAAACAACCTGGAGATTGAGATGTCTCAGACTTTGGCTGCTGGCCACCAGGGCAGGAGTGGTCTGAGGTCACCAGAGGTCGTCGCTGGAAATTTTGGGGAGCTGCGTCTGCTGCAGGGGATCTCAGAGCGGGGAGACACCCAGAAGCTCCAGCAATCTGCTGTGCTGTCCTCAGAACAGTGTGTCATCCACACGGAGGGTTTCATTCCTGTTCGACAAGAGGAAGAGTAAGATATGGAAAGGCGTTTTACTCTTTCGTTGTGCCTAATAGTTGGTTTAATTAAATGGAGTACAAAAACTAACCAAAAAGTGCAACTTGAACTGTTACGTAATACAATTGTATCCTCTATCTGAGAGTTTTTATTTTTATTATTATTATTATTTACAAAACCTGATTATTAAATTGGATATCCTGATGCATGCTCAATAATCCAGGTAGAAAAATCTAACAAAGTTAAATCAGGTTCTCTGGACAAATTAAAAGAACATAATAACAATTAGGGATGCACAATATTATCGGCATGGTATCGATATTGGCCAATATTAGCCATCCATCCATCCATCCATCCATTTTCTTCTGCTTATCCGGGGTCGGGTCGCGGGGGTAGCAGCCTAAGTAGGGAGACACAGACTTCCCTCTCCCCAGCCACTTGGTCCAGCTCCTCAGGGGGAATATTGAGGCGTTCCCAGGCCAGCCGAGAAACATAGTCCCTCCAGCGTGTCCTGGGTCTTCCACTGGGTCTCCTCCCGGTGGGACGTGTCCAGAACACCTCACCAGGGAGGCATCCAGGAGGCATCCTAAACAAATGCCTGGGCCACCTCAACTGGCTCCTCTCAACATGGAGAAGCAGCGGCTCTACTCAGAGTCCCTCCCGGATGATCGCGCTTCTCACCCTATCTCTAAAGGAGAGCCCAGACACCCTGCGGAGAAAACTCATTTTAGCCGCTTGTATCCAAGATCTTGTTCTTTCGGTCACAACCCAAAGCTAATGACCATAGATGAGGGTAAGAACGTAGATCGATCGGTAAATTGAGAGCCTCTCCTTTTGACTCAGCTCTCTCTTCATCACGACAGACCTGTACAATGCCCACTTCACTGCAGATGCTGCACCTATCCGCCTATCGATCTCACGTTCCATTTTTCCCTCATTCGTGAACAAGACCCCAAGATACTTGAACTCCTCCACTTGGAATAGGACCTCCTCCCTGACACGGAGAGGGCACTCTACCCTTTTCCGGCTCAAGACCATGGCCTCGGATTTGGAGGAACTGATCTTCATCCAGACGTGTTGCACTCGGCTGCAAACCACTCCAGCGAAAGCTGTAGATCACGATCTGATGAAGCCAATAGGACCACATGATCTGCAAAAAGCAGAGACGCAATCCCAAGGCCACCAAAATGGAGCCCCTCAACACCTTGGCTGCGCCTAGAAATTCTGTCCATAAAAGTTATGAACAGAATTGGTGACAAAGACAACCTTGGCGGAGTCCAACTCTCACCGGGAACAAACTCGACTTACTGCCGGCAATGTGGACCAGGCTCTGACACCGGTTATACAGGGACCTAAATGTATATCAAAGGGCCTGGTACCCCATACTCCCAGAGTAACCCCCACAAGGTTCCCCAAGGGATGCGGTCAAATGCCTTCTCCAAGTCCACAAAGCACATGTAGACCGGTTGGGCAAACTCCCATGCACCCTCCAGGACCCTGCTGAGAGTGTAGAGCTGGTCCAGTGTTCCACGGCCAGGACGAAAACCGCACTGCTCCTCCTGAATCCGAGGTTCGACTATCCAACGGGCCCTCTTCTCCAGAACCCCCGAATACACCTTACCAGGGAGGCTTAATAGCGTGATTCCCCTGTAGTTGGAACACACTTTACGGTCCCCCTTTTTGAATAGGGGAACCACCACCCCGGTCTTCCAATCCAGGGAAACTTCTCTCGATGTCCACGCAATGTTGCAGAGTCGCGTAAGCCAACACAACCCTACAACATCCAGAGCCTTAAGGAACTCCAGGCGAATCTCATCCACTCCTGGGGCCCTGTCACCAAGGAGCTTTTTAACCACCACGGTGACCTCAGCACCAGAGATTGGAGGGCCCGACCCAGAGTCCCCAGGCTCCGCTTCCTCAGTGGAAGACGTGCCAGTGGGATTGAGGAGGTCTTCAAAGTATTCTGCCCACTGACCCACGACATCCCGAGTTGAGGTCAGTAGCACACCACTCCCACTATAAACAGTGTTGGTGGTATACCGCACTTCCCCCCCGAGACACCAGATGGTGGACCAGAATCGCCTCGAAGCCGTGCGGAAGTCATTCTCCATGGCCTCTCCGAACTCCTCCCATGCCTGAGTTTTGCATCAGCGACCACCCGAGCCGTGTGTCGCTTAGACGGCCGGTATCCAGCTGCTTCCGGGGTCCCACAGGCCAAAAAAGCCCGATTGGACTCCTTCTTCAGCCTGACACCATCCCTCACCGACGGTGTCCACCATCGGGTTTGAGGCTTGCCACCGCGACAGGGACCGACAACCTCGCGGCCTCAGCTCCAGTAAGCCGCCTTGACAATCGAGGCATGGAACATGGCCCACTCGGACTCAATGTCTCCCTCCTTCCCTGGAACATGTTCAAAGTTTCCCCAGAGGTGGGAGTTAAAACTCTTTCTCACAGGAGACTCTGCCAGACGTTCCCAACAAACCCTCACAAAATGTTTAGGTCTACCAGGTCTGACCGGCATCCTCCCCCACCATCGGAGCCAACTCGCCAACATGTAGTGATCAGTGGACAGCTCTGCCCCTCTCTTCACACGAGTGTCCAAGACATGTGGCCGCAGATCAGATGAGATGATGACAAAGTCGATAATCAAACTGCGGCCTAGGGTGTCCTGGTGCCAAGAACACATATGGACACTCTTATGCTTGAATGTAGTTTTCGTTATTGACAATCCATGACGAGCACAGAAGTCCAACAACAGAACATCAGTCGAGTTCAGGTCAGGGGGGCCGTTCCTTCAAACCACACCCCTCCAGGTCTCACTGTCATTTCCCATGTGAGCATTGAAGTCCCCCAGCAGAACAAGGGAGTCTCCAGGAGATGCACTTTCCAGTACCCCCTCCAAGGACTCCAAAAAGGGTGGATAATCTGAACTGCCGTTTGGTGCATAAGCACAAACGACAGTCAGAACCTGTCCCCCCACACGTAGGCAGAGGGAGGCCACCCTCTCATTCACTGGGGTGAACCCCAACACACAGGCACCAAGTTGGGGGGGCAATAAGTATGCCCACTCTTGCTCAGCACCTCTCACCAGGGGCAACTCCAGAGTGGAAGAGTGTCCAGCCCCTCTCAAGGAAACTGGTTCCAGAGTCAGAGCCATGCGTAGAGGTGAGTCCAACTATTTCTAGCCGGAACCTCACAACCTCACACACCAGCTCAGGCTCCTTCCCCACCAGTGAGGTGACATTCCACGTCCCAATAGCCAGCTTCTGTAGCCGAGGATCAGACCGCCAGGGTCCCCGCCCTCAGCCACCACCCATCCCATATTGCACCTGACCCCTTTGGCCCATCCCACAGGTGCTGAGCCCATGGGAAGGCCAATATTAGCGTTAAAGTTAAATACCGGACATCCCATTCCATCAAAATAACTCACTGATATAAAAGATGCTATTTTTTATGACAACCCAGTGACAAGGATGCCTGCATCGCCAGTACAACATGATGATGTCATGCGTGCCTGAACTGATCTGAACATGGCAGAGAGGAAGAAGTCAAACTGTCGGCGGTGTGGAAGTTTTTTGTTGTTGTCTACCCATGGGGGCCCTCAGCCCGAAAGAGCAACATGAGTTTGCCTTCTTGTGGACCCACCACCTGAAGGAAGGGTCAAAAAAGCTGGGTGCATGATGCCATGGGTAGTAGCCAAAGGCGGGAACCTTGGCGCTCTGACCCTGGTTTACCAAAGCTGGCTCTTGGGACATGGAATGTAACTGCTCTGGTGGGGAAGGAGCCTGAGCTTGTGTGCAAGGTTGAGAGGTACCGACTAGATATAGTTGGGCTCACCTCGGTGTACAGCATGGGCTCTAGAACCGATCTCCTTGAGAGGGGCTGGACCTTATTCCACTCTGGAGTTGCCAATGGTGAGAGGCATCAAGCTGGTGTGGGTCTACTTGTAGCCCCCTGACTTGGTGCCTGTGTGTTGGAGTTTTCCCCGGTAGATGGGAGGGTGGCTTCCCTTCGCCTTCGGGTGGGGGATCGGCTCTGACTGTTGTTTGTACCTATGCGCCAAACAGCAGTTCAGAGTATCCGGCCTTCTTAGACTCTTTGGCAGGGGTGCTAGAAGGTAAAACAGCTGGGGACTCCTTTATTCTGCCGCGGGACTTCATTTCCCACGTGGGTAATGACAGTATGACCTGGAGAAGCGTGATTGGGAGGAATGGACTCTCTGATCTGAACCCGAGCAGTGCTCTGTTGTTGGACTTCTGTGCTAGTCATAGTTTGTCCATCACAAACATTATGTTCGAACATAAGTTTGTCCATAAGTGTACTTGGCACTAGGACACCCTAGGTCATAGATCAATGATTGACTTTGTAGTTGTATCATTTGAGTTGCGGCCATAAGTTTTGGACACTCGGGTGAAGAGAGGAGCTGAGCTGTCAACTGATCACCACCTGGTAGTGAGTTGGATCCGATGGTGAGGAAAGATGCTGGACAAACCCAGTAGACTCAAATGTGTAGTGAGGGTTTGCTGGGAACACCTGGCAGAAGAACCCTTCGGAGAGGTCTTCAACTCACACCTTCAGGAGAGCTTTAACCGCATCCCAGTTAAGATGGGAAACATTGAGTACGAGTGGGACATGTTCCGTGCCCCACTTGTTGAGGTAGCTGCCTTGAGCTGTGGCTGCAAGGTTGTCGGTGCTTCTTGCGGTGGCCATCCACAAACTCGGTGGTGGACACCCCAGGTCAAGGAGGCTGTCAAGCTGAAGAAGGAGTCCTATCAGGCCTTGTTGGCCAGCGGGACTCTGGAGGAAGCTGAGGAGTACCGGAGGGCCAAGCAGTCCACAGCATTGGCTGTTTCTGAGGCAAAAGCTCGGATGTAGGAGGAGTTTGGTGAGGCCTTGGATAGAGACTCTCGGTCATCTCCAAGGAGATTCTGGCAAACCATCAGGCAGCTGACGAGAAGAAAGCAGCACTTAAATAACACTGTGTTCAGTGAAGGTGGGTGCTGTTGACTTCAACC